GAGAGAGAGAGAGAGAGAGAGAGAGAGCATGATCGGGGGGAGGGGCAGAGAGAGAGGGAGGCACAGAATCCGAAGCAGGCTCCAGGTTCTGAGCTGTCAGCACAGGGCCTGACACGCGGCTCGAACTCACAGATCGAGAGATCATGACCTGAGCCGAAGTCGGACGCTCAACTGACTGAGCCACCCAGGCGCCCCAAGGAATTCTTAACATTAATATCCCTAAAGTTGAATTGAAGCAAGATATTAAACGATTGAGGAGGGTTTCTGACAGGCATTTGGTCTTGTTTTGCTGCATCAGTGGCTTCTAGCCTGCAAAATCTGCATAATCAGGTCCCAAGGTCTTCTAATTTGTGTGAAGTCCCATGTTCAGTTCAGCCACACATCCCAGAAACCAATGCAACAGGAGACAACGCAGAAAAGGCCTTTGTGGCTCTGGGTTCCTGTTCGGGGATGAATTGCACCGCCTCCCCCACCCCCATTCATATGTTGAAGTCCGAATCCCCAGCACCTCAGGACATAACCTTATTTGGAAATGGTATCTTCGGAGATGTAATTCCTTCCTTAAGATGAGGTCATAGTGGAGTAGAGTGGGACCCCTATCCAATAGGACTGGTGTCCTTATAAAAAAAAAAAAAGGTAATTTGGACACAGAGACACACAGAGGGAGAAACTACCAGAAGCTGGGGAGAGAAGAGACCTTTCCCTAGAACTTCCGGAGGGAATGTGTCCTGTTGACTCCTTGATTTTGGAGTTCAGGCCTCCAGGAGCGTGAGAGAAGAAGCTTCTGTTGTTCTAAGCCACCCAGGTTGTAGTACTTTGTCACAGTGGCCCCAGTTAACTGATAGCGTCTCCCACAGTATCACCCTCCTTTGTGGCGAATTCCCCAACGGGGCCCCTGGAGCCAGAGGAAGCATCCCCCACTGTTGTCGTTCCCATGATGCTCACTCTCAATTGCCCTGTCCTCACATCTACCATTTCCGGGAGGACAAGGATTTGTGTCCATTTGTTGACAATGAGGTAATGTGTTCAGTGACAGAATGATGGAAATCTGCAGAAATAATATGCGCAGATATCTGGGATTTCAGGAGGTAAGGCTCAGCAAGTAGGAAAAAGAGAGCATTTCACGGTGATCCCAGCACAACCTAAAGGGAAGATCTTCACGAATCTTTAGGCACCAAATAACACAGCAAGCAGAACACACAAAGTCAAAACTGCCAGCAACACGAGGAGAAGTCCACCAGAGTAGAGACCAAATTCGTACCAGTGGATCCCAATTCATCTGGGATAAATTGGTGGGCAGGGCTGTGTGGAGTCTCTGTTTTCAGCCCAGTAATTTCATGAGCTTTCCCATCGCCCGTATGCCCTATGCAAGGTTGACGTGTAATTTGGGGTAACCTGACTGGCTTTAGGAAGAATGCGTCAGGACTCAAGAAAGAGAATACATCACACACCTCCAAAGAATGGATTGTCTGATCTGATGGCCTACACTAGTGGGTTTTTCCTTTGCTGATTATTTCCTCTTGATTTTCAGATCGTGGCCAAGAGATACAGAGATTTTGAATTTCCTTCTGAAATGACTGGCATCTGGAGATACTTGAACAATGCTTATGCTAGGGACGAGTTCATGAATACGTGTCCAGCCGACCAGGAGATTGAACATGCATATTCAGATGTTGCAAAAAGAATGAAGTGAAGCTGTCTTATTTCTCAGTGGTACGAGCTAGGCTGTGATGAGAATGTATTCTTTGTGGGGCGCCTGGGTGGCTCAGTCGGTTGAGCGTCCGACTTCGGCTCAGGTCACGATCTCACGGTTCGCGGGTCGGGCTCCGTGCTGACAGCTTGGAGCTTGGAGCCTGCTTCGGATTCTGTGTCTCCCCCTCTCTCTGCTCCTCCCCCACTCACTCTCTGTCGGTCTCTCTCTCAAAAATAAACATTTACAAAAATTTAAAAAAAAAAGAATGTATTCTTTGTGAGTGGTCTTTTGTTTTCCTTCCAATAGCCATCGTGCCCATATTTTAATAACACCATATCGTAGTGAGATCCACTCAACCCAGATGATACATGGCCTTGTGACTTGTCAACTCACTTGTGTATCTGAATAATACCAGTATCTATTGTGACACATACCAGTTGTCCAGTTGACATTAACTTACTTCTTTGGCATTCGCGGACACTGTAACTCACGATGTTGGGGCATGTGATTTTGAGTTTCCAGTTTCTTTTAAGTTTTTTTTTTTTTAACATTTATTTATTTTTGAGACAG